GAAATACTTGTAAAACATTTCAACATAAACATAGCTTCTTTTAAAATTAAATATCTGTTCATTGTAATGAATAGTTTTAGATCCTTAATGTAGCTCTAAAATTCACATAACAAGGAATTCACCATCGTTTAATAGGTGAATTTCTGCCATTAAAAGTGAAAACTATACAAATGGTTTTTCATAATTTACCTAAAAGCCTTGCTGCATTTTTAGCTTGGAAAATTCATATTGCTTCTATTTCTTCTGTCTTCTTAAATCATTTATTAATGCCTGTACTTAAATATAATTTACCATTATAGCATTTCATATTTTTTCTAGGAATTTGATGAGACTTTTTTGCATATATGTAAAAATATTTCTTTTTGTTTGGAAGAATTAAAATTTTGAGGAATTAAATGAGTCCATTTCTATCTTTGCTTCATTGGTCACCGGCTGAAGGCATGCTCTCTGAATCTGGTTTACTATAGTTGAACATTTGCCCCAGAAATAGGAAAATCACATGTCCTTTCTGCCATAGCTCTTTTGAGAATGTCATTTTGAATACTGGGATCTTACCTTAGTTTTAACTCCCTGTTATTATGTATGCTAGCTGCTATATTTTCTCCACTTCTCTAGTTTCCAAAGGAGATAAATGAATTTGAGATGTACAGCCTAGTCATTTGGGATTTGAGGTTTGATAATGCCCTAATTGGTTAAAGATATTGTAAAGAGATTTTGAATGTCTCCAGGAGTCTCAGATTTCCATACTGAATATCATTCAGATCTTAGTTTCCTGGTTTTCCTTCAAACCTTATTTTGTGTATTGATTGTGTATTTGGGGGACTTTCTTCAGACATATGTGCTACTTTTGAAGAAGAATCTATTACAAAATGAATTTCTTATTGTATTATTTATCTGTAGTCATATTTCATTATTCCTTTTGGTAGCACAGAACTTTGAAAGCAAATTTTGAAGCCTTTAGCATTGAGAGTCCTACTTGTCACCACTTCAAGTACAGACTGACATTCTTGAAAGGCATGGTTGTTATCTTTGCCCTGTGTATGTGCTGTTCTTCTGGTATTAGAAAATAGTGCCACACAAATCTTCATGGAGAATAATGTGAAACAGAAATTTGACTTGAGCAACTGCTCGAGAAGTTGACTTTTTTCTATGTACCCTACAACTTTCATTGATCTATAGTCTCAACTTTTAGTTTTGTTTTTGTTAGATAGTGTTAGGATAAATAAATCTTCCTTTTTTCTTTGACTTAAAGCAAGAGAGGAAAAAGGTCTATTTAAGACAATTCTTTTTTAAGATTTTAGATATTAATGCTTAGGCTGTAAAAACATCATTAGGGATTTGATACCATACTGAACAAAGGAAATGTTAGTCCCTCGTTAGTGTCCAACTCTTTGCAGCCCCATGGACTGTAATCCCCCAGGCTCCTCTGTCCATGGAATTCTCCAGGCAAGAATACTGGCGTAGGTAGCTATTCCCTTCTCCTGGCAATCTTCCCTAACCTAGGGATCGAACCTGAGTCTTCTGCATTGCAGGTGGATTCTTTACTGTCTGAGCCAGAGGGAAGTCCTAAGACCATTCTCCATACCTAGAAGTCATCTCTCTAGGGCTTCCCTGGTGGCTCAGATGGTAAAGAAGCCATCTGCAATGCGGGAGACCTGGGTTCGATCCCTGGGTTGGGAAGATCCCCTGGACGAGGGCATGGCAACCCACTCCAGTATTCTTGCCTGGGAATCCCATGGGCACAGGAGCCATGGTGGGGTCGCATGGGGCCCATGGGGTCACAAAAAGTTGGACACGACTGAGTGACTAAGGACCGCACAATCCAGCTCCTTCACTTTGTAGACCTGGTAGTTGTCTAAGTTGTGCTCCTCAAGCTGTGGTTGGGGATCAGTTTTTTTCCTTCCTCAATGAATGGCAGGCCAATAATTTTTTAAACTACAATAAAGACAAAGTACTGGAAAAAGTAATTTTTACATGACATACACAGTTATAAATGCTTCTTACTTTTTGTGGTTATCTCAATGTCGATTACGGAGAATGCTGGGACTAGAACAGTCCATAGACCACACTTGGTCTGTCCCTGCCCACACTTTATCTGTTACTGCCCAAGGTCAAGGTTGGCAAACTATGACTACGGGCCATGATCATCCTTTTTTTTTTGATATGTTCTTTAAGCTAAGACACCAGGGGCTTCCCTGGTGGCTTAGAGGGTAAAACGTCTGCCTGCAATGTGGGAAACCCAGGTTCGATCCCTGGGTCGGAAAGATCCCCTGGAGAAGGAAATGGCAACCCACTCCAGTACTCTTACCTGGAAAATCCCATGAACGGAAGAGACTGGTCAGCTACAGTCCATGGGGAAAGAGTCGGACATGGCTGAGCTATGACACGTTTAAGCTAAGAATTGCTTTTAAGTGCTTTCTTAAAATTCACCATAATAGTAAATTTCCTTATACATGAAAATTATATAAAATTCAAATTTTAATGAAGTTTTATTGGAATAGAGCCACACACATCCTATAAGTATTGTCTGTGACTGCTTTTCCTGTATAATGATGGAGTTGAGGCAAGGCTGAGTAGTTGGGACAGAGACCATATGATCTATAAAGCATAATATATTTTCTCTCTGGGCCTTTACAGAAAAAGTTAAAATCTGAAGGTTTGGCTCTAGAACAAAGCATAGAATTAGTAGTTAGTGCTAGAGTTGAGAGTACAAATACATTTTAAAATGTGCTTTAAATATTATTATTAGCTGATATGTATTATCAGTCTCTGTGCTTAGTACTTTTGCTGCCATTTTCTGTTCTCATTTAATCTCCTCCGTGCTGTCCTTTTCTAAAAACTTAGGTAAGTTTAGATCTTTTCTATACCAGTTATAGATACCTTTATTGTTCCTAAAGCTCTTAACTCTGCTCAATATTGTGAGTTTTTTACCCATATCTGTTCAATTTAAATGGTTTGATATTTGAATGTGGCTTGGAAAATCCAGCTTCTTCCCTGTTGCTACATAACTCTGCAGTGATATTTCTGTGTGTTCAAGTCCAGTGAATGAAATGCATATGACTCAAAAATGTTAAGAAAACAGATATTTCTAGTGAAAAGATTAATCCTTTAAAAGTGAGCTAAAACAAAACAAAACTGCAGCTAAACTGTAAGGGCAGGTTTCTGTTACAGATAACAAAGATACAACAGCTGAGGCTGAGGCTTTAGGTGACTTTTGGAGGATCAGTAAGGCTTTCAGTGTGTTGCCTCTGCCACTCATTAAACTGCAGAGTCAAAGCTCCCATCATACTATCGTCAAGGCTTGTTAAACTAACATATTTCTTTACTTCTTGTTTAAAGCAGGTTCTTAAGTTCTCAAAGTATGCAATAAAAAAAAAAAACTGAGCTTTTCATGGTAGCTGTTATTTCTGTTTTCCTACCCTTTGCGTGTGATCACTCAACAATTAAAGACAGAGCAATAACTGTCATCTTTACATTTGATACATGAGCCTACTTCATGATATAGACCCATTACAAGCCAAATCTTCATGTTGGGATTTCTTGGAATAAAAAATTACATAATTGCAGTGAAAGCTTATTCATTATATGATGAAAGAATAATTGCAGTTTGATATTATGATGTTTGATATTATGGTACTTGCTATTTTGTGCTACTTAGCTCTTGTCACTTTATAAACATATGGAAATGAATTATGTTCATTGCTTACAATCAAGAATGAGATATTATAGACAGTCTTGACAAAATCTCACTGCATCTTTTCAAGCCATGGCTAGTTGTTATTACTCCAGATCTCAAAGTACCCAAGGTTTAGTGCAAGAGATGCTGGTGTCCGTTGTCCTAGCAGCTGCCTCCCAAATCTAGATAAGGCTGTTCCTTTGTACCTTATAGTAAAGCTGTTGACTAAGTGGCTTGTGCATTAAAGCGAATGGAAAAGCCTATAAACAGCAGGATTTATTACTCAGTAATATATAAGGATTGCGTTCCCAGTATTCCAAAAGATTGTATGTACTTTAGCATGAGACTATTAATGAATGAAAATCTGGGACACACAACAGTCATTATATAATGTCTTTAACCATTTATCTGAATTGAATATTTCTACTTTGTTTTAAATTTATCCTATAAAATGTTGGTAAATGGTAGTAACTCCTATTCTCTCCAGGAGTACACAAAATCTTGTGTTAAGTTTGAACTGTTAGAATACCTTGTGATTGAACATCCCTATACACACACATACCAGATGTATTTGAAATCTTTTGAATTAATAATTAAACAGTGATTCTTTCTTTTGGAAGCCTACACTTCTCAAAATTCTCTGTAGCTACTTTTTACCCATAATAGCATGTGTAACATTCATTCCTCAGCATATATTATAGTGATCAAATTTCTGATTCTAAAAATTTTTGACTGCCAGAATTATTGTGGAAGGCAGTTGTTTCTGAGTTGCATGCATTGCTGTGTCTGGTAAACTTCCTGGAAGCCAGCCAGTGTGTTCTGGTGAGTTTCCACGTATGTAAACGGTGAGCATTAAAAGGCTTACCCAGTATTACAGTTGTTCTGAGGCAGGGAAGCAGTGGGAAGTTCAGCAGTGAAGCAGCAGCAGCAACAAGCAGCCACAGTGTAGGAAAGACAGGGCAGCTCACTGCGAGCGGATTTCCCAGTGCGAGGCAGCGAGCACACAGCTCCCCATCCTGCCGCCCGCAGGAGGCAAACCCAAACTGTTTGTGGCAAGATTTCTCTAGTTTCATGTTTATGATGTTCAGTCACGTGAGAATACTGTACCACAAGTTGCCAACTTCGCTGTACTCTAGAGAGGAGCCTTTGCTGCAGTGCTTTTTTTCCTCCTTTCTTGCTTTTTCTTCCTTTGCTTTTTTTTCTTGAAAGAGAAAAAAAAATTGTGCAATGTATGTTTATGCCTACACCATGCCGAGGCGACACTTACCAGTAAATAATCTTTGTATCCCCGAGGTAAGATACTGTTTCTGCTTTCCCTGCACAGTGCTGCTGCAGCACGGAGCTGATCCAAACATTCGGAACACCGATGGGAAGTCAGCCTTGGACCTGGCAGATCCTTCAGCCAAAGCCGTCCTTACAGGTAAGGAGACAGAGCTGCCCAGTTATCCTGTCTACTAGCTATTAGATCTATCAGCTTGCTTGTATAAAACTGTTATGCTCTGAATTTTATTTTGTTTTCCTAAACATAAAAGCGCAAGAAATATATATGCCATTACCTCTACTTTATTATTTATTTGTTATATTAACTGTTAACCTTAATTGCTATGCTGTCACAGCAGAAGCAATAGGATTGCTTATTCTGCTTAGAATTTCTGAGAATTATAGCATGAAATGAAAACATAATTATTCATATTTTAGACTTTCTTTTTTTATGGTTTAGATCCTCATTTCCTGTACTTCATCTTCTCAGTTAATTCTTGTGGAGACCTTCACTATGGATCAAGCAAGGGCATTTGTGTTACTTTATAAAAGTAGTTTTGATCAGAAAAACAACCTGCTGCCTCATTGCTGAGGTCAATAGTTAAATAAAATATGGTGCTGCTCCTCCCTTGCCACTCTATTTATATTTTTATCATTATCTTCTCCCCATGATAACTAAGTAAGTACTTTTTAACTGAGGCCATGCATTGCCTTTTTACTTCAGATAATAAAAATTTGGGCTTAAGTATTGGTTTTATTAAGGCAGGTGTCAAGAACAGCAAAGAAGAAATGCTGGAATAGAGAGGCTCTCAATAATAACATAGGAAATAATGCTATGAGTGATGTGATATTGAGCAACCATTTTCATTGATCTTCATTCGCAAAATGCTGTGTTGGGTCTATTTTTGTTTTTATTCTTAGCGTCTGAGTTCTGCTGCCTTTGCCTTTTACTTAACTGACCTTTGTAATTTGGAGCCTCTTAGTCACTGCAGTGCTAACAGTATTGTTTTAGGTTGCATGAAAGTAAATGACTTTTAGCTTCCTTTTAAATTTGTCCAAGCTTGAGAAAAATAAATCTTGTATTCACTTTTAAATTTAGAGTCCATTTTTAACAAAGTCCCTGACATGAATGAAAAATATCTATATACAGAAAGGTTTAAAAATATTTGGACTTTTGCTTAATTACTCTGCATAGAAAGACAACTTCCCTCAGTGTTAAAATTCATATAATCTCTGCTAAATCTGAGTTATCTGATTTATCTAAATTAATAAAAGGTTAGGTGATTCAGTTGCTGAATCAAGATAACATACACTAGAGGGATGAAGCTATTTTAAACCAGAGTAGATAAGAAAAAATTTAAATGTAATTATGAAGTTTTAAATAATGAAATGAAAGTCTCTAGCCTCAGGTCTGCTGTTTAGGTTCCACAGCCTTTCAGTTTTTCCATTTAACAAAGCCCTGGGCAACAGTTGCAGCCTTGAAGTGGTCTCCAACCAAAGGAGAAATGGCACTCACAGCAAGCGAGGGGTGTTATAAAAGCTGGCCAAGGCGGTCTCCGCCTGTGTCCTCCCCCTGACCTTTGCTTCTCTTCAGCCCTCAGCACCTGCCTTGTCCCTGTGTCAGATCGTTCATTTGTTCATTTACTGCAGCGCTGCTTAGATCCACTTTTCACTTTTTTTAAAAGACAAAGTTTGGATATGTTATTAACAACAAGAAGCTATCTTCTAATTAGAAATGAATTTCATGGGAGATTATATTGCCTGTTGTTAGTTTGGGAAAGAAATTTGGCAGAATAACTCATAGACCCCAAAGATTTCCTGGAGGGAAACTGTTAAACTTCACTTGAAAAGCATCTAGCCTGTATTTTGCTTAGTAGGAAAGTATTAAATTCTTGGTCGTAATACTGAGCTCATTAATTGTTTTTTTCAAGAATATGCTCTCTTGGAAATGATATACAACTTTTCAGGTATGATTTATAAGAAAAACATTCTAGTGGAAAATATACGCTAATGATATTTACACATTTGTGTTATATAATGCAATGAAATATATTCTACAATGTGTTTCTGCCCATGCAGGTTCTCTTCTAAGCAGTTCTTTTGATGGAATTATGGTGGAAGTAATATTTGCAAAGTTAAATTTAAAAGATTGAGCACTGACAAAAAGAGAATCTTTTGAAAGGGAAGCCCTAATTTAGAGTTATTAGAGATTATTCTGGATGATGTGTCATTATTTTTATGCCAGATATAATTGTAGTACCATTACTTACCTTGAGGGTGAAGTTTCTGTTCTTAATTTTTTTCCTCTTTGGGAATTTAATTACCAAAGATGACTTTCCAGTATTTTTTATTTTACTGTTTTTGTGCATTAGCCAAAATTGAGTATAGGTATATGTATAATCTTTAAAAGAAATTATCAAAGTGAAAATCCCTTTTACTGAGTATTTTAAATATGTAAATGACTAATACCCTCTTCTGTATAAAGAATGCATGGGTTTTTGCAGAGCTGTGTAAAACAACAACATATTTCTGGTTTTACAGCTAAGGGACCCCAGCATATAGCCATTTGCTTTGGCTAGTCATTTAGGCATTTTTAAGAGAATAATTAATTGGAAAGACTCATTAAACTCTTTGTTGAATTATTATGTTAAGTGACTGATATGCTTAGAAGAGATCTTGAGGGGTTTTTGTTTTTTGTTTATAAGTCTGAAGTTCTGGGCAGTCAACTGAAGGACTTGGAGATGGTTTTGTTTGTTTGTTTTTGTTTTTTAAGAAACAAGGATAGGAAAAGTTTAAACAAGCCTGTGTAAATTTCATTGAGGAGCAGTTTCAGTGTGTTAAGATGATGAATTTTTAAAAACTTATTTATTTTGACCTTTGTTCCTAGGTATATAAATATATTCATTTAGAAATTGGGGGAAATAGGGAAAGTACAAAAAAGAAAAAAATTGCTCATTATTCTGCCACCTAGAGAGAACATTTTGGTATATTTTATTTATAACATTTTTTTCTTAGCACGCACACCCCACATTCTTCTTTCTCTTTAATGAAATCAGCCTTATACATTATATATTGCTTAATAATCTTTTTTAAAAATTGAGTTATATGAATATCCCCAGAAGGTGCTAAGTATTCTTCCGCAACATGAATTTATAAAGAACTTCATGGTATCCTTCTATGGATACATTTTAGTTTTTTGAGCTAATCCTCTAGTATTTACCATTTAGGTAGGTTGTTTTCATCCTTTATTCTTTCTTATGAATTTAGAGTTATTTTATCAGTTTCATTGGCATTATCTTCTTTACCATATTCAGTTTTAGCATCTACACACATCTCTATTTCTGAATGAAATAGAGAATTTGGTGAATGAGAGACTTCCTTTTTAAAGGACTGCACTGTATGCGGTATTATTTTGAGAGAGCTACATGTAAATTGAAGTTGGGTGATAAAGCGAGTATTCATTGAAGAGGATAAAGGTGTAGGAGTGTTGGTTGATCATGTAAAGGGGATTCTGTGGGGCAGAATGGGAAGTTGGGTCATAACAAGAAGTGACAGCAGATTGCGGCTGAGCGTTTGGGAAAGGCTGGATGGCCAAAGGAGAGTTACGGCTGGCAGAACCAAGGATGACAGGGATGTAGCAGTGAGTTTAGGTGATCACGGGGTTGCCAAGGTAATTTGTCCCAGGAGCTTCCTAGTAGATTTAGGGGTAGGGGAATAAGGAAGAGGGATATGTTTGCACCAGGGTGTCTCAAGAATAAACTTTAATCTGGATTTGTTGCATTTCTGAGGCGATTCTAATCTATGATTGATGGGCTTGCTTTTGACTCCCTTTTTAGAAGAAATCAACTGTGGCTCAGTCTAAAGGCAACATTGAGGGGTCTTAATGTTTTAGCTTGCTGAGCCTGGTGTGCTAAATCAACAAAATTTATCTGGAATCCTATCTCTTTTTTGTGTTGTCGTTACTCTACTCCACTGCTTCCTCCTGCTTTTCAGATAAAATGAAAACCTTCAGCATGATCAGTGAATACTTAAAATGATCTGAACCCTGTAGGTTTGATTGCTAGGTTTTAGTTAAGCAAAAATTTAGGATTCCTTTCTTTTTCTTACATTTCAAAACCAACCTATCAGTAGTTCAGGTCTACCATACTTTCAAATCCTCAAGCCAGCCATTTCTTACCAGCTTCCCTGCCCTAAGCCTTGGTACATGCTTTTCATCATCTTTCTTTCCTGACAGCAGTAGCTTCGTAATGGGTCTCTCTGCATCAGCTATAGCTGGAGTGAGTTTTCTAAAGCATGAATCAGTGCTGTGATTAGAAACTTCATTAATATATTCTCATTACCACTGAATAAAATCTAGACTCTAACCGTAGCCTTCCATGGTCTGACCCCTTCCTTGCACATCTCTGATCTTGTCTTCTTCTGTGTTCTCCCTTGAGCTCTCTGCTTTAGCTGCAGCGGGATGCTTGCTGTTGCTCAACCCATGAAGTGCATTTTGGTGTCTGGACCAACGCAAGCTCTTTACTAAAACTGGAACAACTGGCCCAGAGCTTCACATGGGTTATCAGTCAGATCTCCACTCATACGTTTACTGCTCAGAGAAGGCTTCTTGTCCTCAATCCCGTTAGCTTACTTTAGTTCCCGTATGGACTTATTATTGTATTTTCTTTACAGTGTCTGAAATTGTGTTCGTTTGTTATCATTATTTTTTTGCCCCAATAGAATGAAAGCTTCACAAGAATTTGGGCTTTTGTCTGTCTTGCTGACTCCACTGTGCCCAGGACTTGGATGAGTATGTGAAACTATTGAATAAACAAGTATATCTAGGGTCTGATTATTAAATTTTCTGCTTCTTAAAAATTATTTTGAGTTGCTAATAATCATGTACACCTCTTAAAACATAATGCATTAAAGTTTTTTCCATTTTTTTAATCAGTATATACCTGATGGGTAAGATATGTACTGAGCCTTTTATCAACAGAATTCTTGGATAGCTCCTTTGATTGAGACTATTTCAGTTCTGGAAAGATCAAACTTCCTGCAGCTGTCACATCAGAATTCCAGATGTCAAAGCAGGGCCTCATTTTTACTCTTCTTTGGTCGTTGTTCTGTTAATTATCTGTTTTGCACATCACCTGTACTATGGTGTAGCCTATCGCCTTT